AGGGTATGTGAGACAAAGCAAAATCATATAATGTGGTAAACAAACATTTTTGGTTATTTAAGACCTGTTTTGATTAAACAAGGGTATCATAGTAAGATTACTTCTCAATTACTTATTATTCTATATAACTAAAAAGGCATAAAAATTTGACTTTAACACCAGTCTCATCAGTCCTAAAATCCTTTTGTTCATTTTGTAACATTCAAACAATTTATTTTTCAAAGTACTCCAAAGAAAGGAAATCCAGACACAGCTCAGATATCCTCATAGGTGCTTTTCATTCTTGGCCATTATCTCCCTAACGTTTCTATCAAATTCAACTCACAACAGTTTGACAGACAAAACTTCTGCAGACCCAGGCAGCCTGGTCTGTTGAGAGTGACCTCAATGCTCCTTGTTCCCTGCTTAGACTTAGATCAGCTTGTTCCTGACTTTGCAAAGGAAGCAAAGAAATGTCATACATCAACTTATCATAATGTGGCTGGAATGTATGATAAAGGTTTTCCATAAGAAACATGCTTATTTTTAGATACTATCTTGCACAGCAAGGGTCTCATAAGTTGACCTATCATGAAAGTGGAAATGAAATCATAATGGGTACATTTCCCTTGCTACAAAACTTTCCTCTTTAAGAGCTGTCACATGACCAAAAAACAGGCAATTGGAAAAATAGGATCTGTGACACATGCATATACTAGAATTTTACAGTATTTTTAAGATATTATGGGTTTAAATACATGTGAAATAGTGGTGCAGTAGTTAGAATTGCTGCCTAGCAGTGCTGGGGCCTGGGTTCAATTCCTGGGGTGCCATTTGCATGTTCTCCCCAATGGGGGTTTCCTCTGGGACATACTGGTAGGTTAAAAGGCTTCTGGAAAAACTGTCCTTGGTGTAAGTGTGTGTGTGTCTGTGTCTGGGTGTGTCCTAAGAAGGACTGATGTCCGGTCCAGGGTGTATCCCGTCTTGCACCACTGCTTGCTGGGGTAGGTGCGGGCTTGCTTGTGACCCTGAATTGGATAAAGAGGCTAAAAATGCCCGCATGGATGGGCAGATGGCCATGTTTTAGTTCTTTACACATGCTAAAACTACTCATGATTATGTGGTGCATGCAAACTCTTCAACCACAACATCCAGCCTTTCTAAAAACAACATAAAAATACATTGTTTCTTCACTGACACAAATAAACTACACATCACAGAAATAAAACTGCATTACCAAAACCAGGATCATGAAGTCTGACTTTAACCCCCTCCCCACACACAATACATTGCTTACAGTAGTTATGGTGCAGTTTTCTTCTTTTCCAGTCCCTCCCCCCAGTGATTAAAAGCTGTTCTTGCCCTTAGCATTCAAGACAAATTATTATAAAGAATATGGTACAAGACAGCAGGTTTGTTTTAACACCATTAAGTGACCCCTAACAGCAGGGGGCTTCTAATTGTGTAAGAAAACAGAACATATTGATCTTACGTACACTAACCAGCTCTAGGTATTTATCTTTTTCAACTCTATTGTCTGAGATACAGTACAGATAACACTGGTAGATGTTGTCTACAACAGGATCTTATCATTCATGATAAGATCCTGTTGTATACATTAAAATTTCAATACCTTTAGGTCTTACTCTTTTTATTAATATAAATACATTCATGCATAGTCACTGTTATTGGGTATCTTTAGAAGCATTGTTCCTTTAGGGTCTTTAAGAACTCTCGATCTTAGTCCTTCTGGGCTACCACCCAGAAATACTGGACATCAGCTAGCAGAAAGTGTATAATGTATGGAACTACTGTAATTAACAAAACAACAATTTGATAGGTGTTGTGTTGCATTTAAAGTTTAAATGAAACACTTTAACCAATGGGCCAGCTGAGCAGCACATTAGCAGGGTCAATAGAAACAGAACATCAAGGCTCTTGGAAGAATACTAACCCACTCTGCTTTTGAGCGGATTATGATGGGTGTTTCAGATACTGTAGCAGATAAGTCTCACACACCCAGACCTCTTCAGTTCTTATCACTCCATGACACACAGGGCAGGGTTTTCTCTGGATAGTGCAGCATCATGGAATAGGAAATGTCCTAATCAAGAATGCTTGGTCCAGAGATTATCCTATCTTTCCAAGACCAGTGGATGAAAATGTGGAATTACACATTGTATTTCATTATTACTCAAATTATTTGTTAAAACAGAATTTTTGTCTTTTACTGGCTCAATGTTACTATTGTAATGCTCCATTCTATGCACAGATGTTTGTCCTAAACCTTAACTTTTAGAAGGTGATCAATGCGGTGGTGGGGGTACAGAACAAGTTACCCAGCCATGATGTTGAAGGTAATACCTTGGGTTCCCTCAAGAAATGGCTGGATAAGATTCTCAGATCAATTAGTTATTCACTAAGTGCTCTAGATCAGCTGAATGACCTCCTCAAGTATGCAACTGTTCTTATGTTTAAAGTTGTCATCCCTTGATTTCTGGAGGGATATTCTGTGTATTTATTGGCACATTTCATAGACCTCTGAGATCTTACTGTACTTTCTAAAGCGAATATTAAAAGCATGTCAAAAGTTAACCTCTAGCTGACTAACAAGATACTCTACTTTTCTAATTTTCTAATAAGCTGATCAATTATTCATTAGAAACTCTCATATTCAGTATCATGTGAAGCACCTAATTCGGACTTTTACCTTCTCAGGTTTTGCTGTAGGAATAATAAAATACAAGGATAAACTACACAGCTGTTGTCAGGTTGAATGTGGCACATTGCCAGCATAGATTAATGTATCCTGGGAAACTGACAGGGGAACATGATAGAAAAAACACCTCCCATGAACTGATAACAACAGAAGAAACTGTCCCATGAAAGCAGACATACTTCAGCCTCAGAAATGAAAAGACATCCTGTGTGAAGCTAGGTAAGAATTTCTCTGTTTTTTCTTACTCCCTACAATGGGTTAATTCTTCCTTGCATTCACTGTATTCACAAGATTTGAAGAAAAAATAAAATTTGAGGGGAAAAACAAAATCAACAATAAAATAGTGAAGTGTATGTTTTATGCAATATGGTAGTGTAGAACACTTAGATGGCTTGATGCAAAATTCACTTTACTGAGCCCAGAGGCACTTTTTGTACTGTCGTCTGCTACTTAAACAGCACTGCAGTGTTTTTCACTGTGAAAAAATGTAAGAAAAAGATTACATCAATCAGGTGGAGGAAACACATTAACCTACAAATAGATTTCATCAGTCAATAAATATAAAATGTTAAAAATGTTTATCATTTTTCCTAAACATGTTTGGTGTCTAGCATTGTCAGAGCAAAGAAGGGAATGCTACCTTTACATTTACATTAAGACTTTATGACTCTACACTTATTTCAGAATAAATACATTGAGTTGCTGATGTATTTGTTTTAGTCACTTCATTTAATCATTGACTAGCAGTGTTCTTTCTGAATGATTAACAAAGCAATTTAAGTCACACCAAAACATGCTCAGTATATAGGTGAACATCAGTTCTAAAATTACATTATAAAACTGAAGTTATCGATCTTTAATAAGCATGGTTTATTGATCACCGTTGGTTCACATCACCCACGCAAAGAAGGAAGAATGGATAACAACTGAATATAAAACACATATATTCCAGTACATATACTGGATGCCAAGAAATCAATCAAGATGTTTAAAGAAAATGTTTTTGTCCTTCTTAAAGTAAAAGTGGCGGTACCAAATATTTCCTGTCAAACGTGGGTGAACGCTTAATTTACAATAGATTTGCTTGTCTTGTTTTAATAGTTTAATTGTACTCAGCTCACCCAACACTCCAAAACACGAGAAAAACGCCAAAATACTGTACCCGCTAATGATAACATACTGTATACTCAGATAGTAATAATCCTCCAGCTTTTTAAAACATTAGTAATTCTGACCTAGAGAGCCACATTCAGCTCATTTTTGCTAGTGCACATACAGTACAGTAGCTACAGAGTGGTGAGGTATTCAAACTGCCAGTGTGGCAGCACCTTATTTGTACTAACGGCGTTTCTTAATAAGAAATACTGATTAACTTTGTGTACCTTGTGGAGTGAATAAACTATATTTTTTTAACTTTGATTTTCATTACATATGAACCCAAAAGTTTTTGGAAGACTTTGATATTTGTGAAAGTGCTCTGTACTGCGATGCAAAGTCTGAAGCTCAAACGAAAACTATCCTGGATCAAAATAAATTATTTTAAATATCGAATGAAGCAAATTTCCACAGATTCACTTTGACTATTTAAAAAGTTTATTTATCACAACAATAAAGTCGAACATTTTAACAAAACAGAAGAGAATAACTTACCGGTACATAAGCAGTTCTACAGCTCATAGAAACCAGCGCTGTAAAACCTGTCAGGTTTATAAAAACTACGGCGTAGCAAAAGGCTCAAAACTCGTTTTTTCGAAAGTAGAGCTCAATTGTAACTACATTACTTTACAGTCCTTCCGGTTCAAAAAAACGCCCGTTTATGTCTTTACACATCTCTTGTCTTTTGGCCGTTTTGTTTCTGGTTTCAGATGAAACATTTAAAACCAATTTTATTTAATATTCTAACAAACTACTGTACATAATGCAAAGTAGGACCTAGACGTATTCTTAAGTGTCACATGTACACCTCAGTAATGATACAAACTGTGGTGTCATTTCTAATGTGTAAGTGTACTGTGGACATGATTAAGAAATAAGGAATATGATTCAATATTGTCACACTATATTTGCTTTTCTTAGCTGATGAAAGTTAAGAATATGATCTAAGTGAGGTTCTGAACAATTACATTTTATTAAAATAAGAGTCCTCCTATGATATTCTCAGTTATGGACTTATTATAGCGTATATCCTTGCTCATTAGTAAACAAGACTTTAATATCTCCTGAACTAGGTAAAATCGCTGTACATTATACATTATTTAAAACTGATTACTCTATGAAGAAGTAAACATAAACTACAGTGATCAGCTAGACCAAAATTACATTTAGAAAGTGAATTAGAATAGCAATACCGTTTTCACTTTAATAAATACAGCAGGACTGGACTAGATGGAAGGGCCTGACCAATAATTATAATACATTTAGAAATACAATATGTAGATTTTAGGTGATAAATCTTATTCTACACTTTTATCCACAGATCTGACTTTGAAATGGCTAACTTAACATTGCAACACAACACAGAAATGTTCCCGAATATTTAAAGCAAGTTTCATTATCTTGTGGCATTCAGATCAGTTTGACTTTGTTAATCTTTCCCATTGTTCCTTACATACTGCTCTTTACTGCATACAGCACAAATATTTACTTATTCCTAGTGCTCAAGTGGGGAATGGAAATGATCAGGACAGATTGCAATAGAACTTAAATTTTTACAACTGTACAGTATTTTCAAAGAAAGGGGGACATCAATAAGGTGCAATAACACTAACCAGGTCTACAATAATAAAAAACAATTGCTTTTGACTATTCAGGCTTGTACCTCTTTGTACACTTCACTACACCTTTTCCTCAAATCCTGAGGATAGTAATATTCCAAGAAACCTTCTATTGCTCTCAACTAAGTTGTAGTTATTAAACAAGTTAAATGCACTACAGTACATGGGTCCAGCTGTTCAATATGTCCTCAGCTTCTCTCTTCTGTCACTTCCAAAACTGTCTTGCAAGATATAAAACATTTTAACTACATTTCTGGGGGGGAAATAAATAGCTATACACCGTATAGCTCTTTAATAAAATAATGCATATTCCCAAAACAAAGAACATAATTAATCATTTTAGAAACAAAATACGAATACAAAAGAATGTTTTAAAAAAAACGTTTAATTTCTCTCATTTGTAACCATTCATATGTTCTGGTAATTCATAAGAATTATTATTATTCATATAAGACTAAATCTTTATAGAACAATGAAGAATCAAAATGTTCAGAATGGTCAACAAAATAGCAGATACAAAATAGACCTAATATGTGTGCCATGTACTTAATTTCCTTTGAAGATATCTATGTCAAACAGTAATTTCTTTCTGCTGGAAATAGAACAAAAGAGTAAAGTCTTTAATTTAATTAATGCAAAAGCTATGGGTGCATACATTTAACAATTTTCCAAATATGTCTGTGTTCCTATGAAATAGAAAAACTCTCCATCTAAATGCTTTGCCAAAAGCTGTGCCATAGGACTCATTGCCTCTTCTGAAATTAAATCCCCAGTGGGTATCAGTTTCCTGTTTCTGAACATGAATAACAAAGAGTCCAAACAGTGAGGCACTTTCCACTGTCTATTGAAATTGATGTGTCTGTCTGCAAGGATAAAAGGATGCTTTACTCACTCCAAGTCTGTTCTAGATAAATTTCCTCTTCCTCAGCATCCTCAACAAAATTTCAATAAACACATCTGGTAAGCATGCAAAACAGGACCGTATTCTCTGCAAAATTTAGCTTGGCTCCCAGGCTCTCCAGCTGTCTCGGCTACATGTCTTTTGTCCACATATCTGTGACATAGCCAGCTGGATACTGACAGGCTCTACAAGTGACTTTCGAGTTTGCGTTTGGAAATCGGCCTGGTACTACATACAAGTATTCACCACTGAACTGGTGGAATTTCAAGAGTATAGTCATCTGGGACCAAATAAAGGTGTTTCCAGATTTCTTTTAGGACCAATATATGGAATTTCACTTCAGTGAGGGTTACACATTCATGTTGCACAATTGCTTGCTGATGTGTCGGTCTTCTCACGGCATTTATTAAAAGTAAAAAAACAACTGCTTTTAAATTTCTTAATGATAATCCAGAGCACCTCAATATAGAATGTAGTAATCATATCATCAATAGACTCTGGAGAACATAAAAAAGTTACAAACAACAGTAGGCTATTTGGTCCATCATACCTGTTTGATCCAGTTAATTGATCCAAGAATCCTCCATCTGTTTCTTGAAAGACAGGTATTGGCTTTGAATAATGTTCCATATTCTCACAACCCTCTGGTTCTCCATTGGAGGGGAGGAGAGCAATTAGATCATCAAACATTTTGTGATTTTAGTGTAAGATTAGCGCTCTAATAGATATGACTCTACACTTATTTCAGAATACTGGATAAATACTGCTCTGTCCTTTTATTAACAATACACAAAAGAGTAATCAATGAAGTGTCTTTCCCTTTTCTGGTTATTACAAGGAAACTGGGTAGGTTACAAACATGAGGAGGCCATTTGGCACATCCAGCCTATTTGGCAGTTAGAACTTTGTGCAGTTGTTTTTTTAAAAAACAACAACAACAAGGTTATCGGCTTCAACAACCTGGCTAGATAGCTTGTTCCATACTCCCACAACCCAATGTGCACTGAAGTGCATCCTGTTCTCAGATATAAATACACTTTCACATAGATTTCACTTTTTACCTCTGGTTCATTTTTCAGTGTTGATACTGAAGACGTTTACCAGGCTGACTTTGTGAATTCCTTTGAGGATTTTGAATACTTGGATCAGGTCCCCTACTAGTCGTCTTTGTTTGAGACTAAAAAGGTTCAGTTCTTCTAGACTGTCAGTGTCGGACATTCCGTTAAGCTGCAGGAGGTATCTGGTTGCTCTTCTTTGAACTGATTGAACTGAAAGTCACAAAATCTTTTTCTAATATAGTGATACTACATGTATGTTAACAAATTCTAAAATATGAATAACTTTAAATCAATAATAATTATGAATTTAAAATAAAATGTGATAATAGTTCTGAACCCAAAATGTAATTTATCACGTAGACAAGAGGTCTTATTTTACCAACATTTACTTTCTTTTCTGTAATGTTCTTCTGAGTGCTTTGTACAATTTTAATGTGATATAGTTATCTACTGTATATTTATCTATAGATATAGATAGTTTTTCTGATGTTTAGCTTATTTTCCTCACATAAACATGTCCAGATTGAGTATTAAACTTTTAACTAAAAATATTCATTGCTAAAAATGTGTGTGTATCATTTGTAATTCATCACAAGATGTTATCACTGCAGTGGCATAGCCAGGATGTTTGAGGTGGCAGAGGGGATATCATTTTTAAATATTATGATATGCCTTCTAAATAAGAGTGTAGTACTAAAAAGTGTATATATTTGTCAAAACCTTTTTACAATACAGACTACTTGTGTAGTTACTTTTGTAAGGCTCTGTATTTCCTAACAAAAGCCTTTTTTATTCCCCACGCAATCTAGAAGATTAAGAAGCCTCTTCAGTCTCAGCTTTTCTTATACGTTATTTGTAGTTTTTGTTTATTTTCTCTGCATGTAACATTCTGCATTCTTACACTAAATACCTATTGCCAGGTGTGTGCCCAAACTTGAATTTTATCTGAATATTTTTCAATTACATTTGCTGCTTCTACAGTGTTTGCTTTTCCTCCTATTTTGGTATTTCTACAATCTTGTTTGATTTACTTTCTTTGAATCTTGATCTTTGAATGAAATTAAGAAGAGCAGTGGTCCCTGTTCAGATCCCTGTTGTACTCCACTAAGTTCATCACTCCAGTTTTAGCATTTCCCCTTTCTGTGGACTGTTTTCTATCCATTAACCAGTTATCAATCTAAATATACACATTTCAAATGCCTACTCCCTGCTATTGAGAGTTAATCTCTAATGAAAAATCTTTGAAAATCAGAGTATGCCATATTGAATGTGCGTCAATCACTGATTTTGCATGTTAAAAGAACAGCAAGGATCAGCATGGGGGCATAGGGGATAGCATTGCTGCCTTGCAGGGCCAGGGCGATTCTGGCATGGCATGTGTATGGGGTTTGTATGTTCTCTTCATATTTGTGTGGGTTCCTCTGGGTGTTTTGCTTTTCTCTCATAGTCCATGGTCATACTGGTAGGATAATTGGCCCTGGTGTGTCCGTGTGCGTGTGCGTGTTTCTGTCCATGTCTGTGTCTTGTGATAGACTTGTCTCCTACTAGGGAGGATCAAGGTTGTTCCCCTTTGCTTGCTAAGATAAGGCTCCACCTCCTACACTACCCTAAATTGGATGAAGTGGTTAGAAAATGGAAAGGTAATTAAGCCTACATTTTCTAAATCAATGTTGACTAAGAAATAGGGTCTCATATTTGCATATTGTCTCATATTTCAATATTTCAATATTATTTATTTAACCTTTCATTTAACAGAAGTCAAACTTATTGATCTATAATTACATATTTCAGTTTTGTCACCCTTTGTACGGATGGGCACTACAGTACTAGTAATGATCCCATCTATGAGCACTTTCCCAATCTTTGAGCAACTGTTGGCAGAGTTGTATCAGTTGCTTCTGACTAACATCACTTGTTTCATTAAGTACAATTGATAGGATATACTATATCTGGCCCTGAAGATTTATTCATCTTGAGTGCTTATAGTATTCTAGATAA